ATTGGTCAGCAGCAAGACTTTTACGGTGATGGGGCAGGCACAAGTCTTCCCTCTCTTGGGAGAAGCCTGGCACCAACACTGGAGCTTTGGAGTTGTTTCCCCAGTGGACACTGTACTGTTCATTTGGAGCCCAGCACAGTGCTTGACACATAGTAAGTTTCCAAGAAATATCTGCTAAGTGAAGGAATAGTTGGTTATAAAAGAGTAGTTATCTGTTGGGAATTGGTGGTGCCTGTAATCCTAGCTACTCAGGAGGCTGAGATGTGAGAATCATCATTTAAAGCAACCCAGGCAGAAAAGTCTGTGAGACATCACCAGTTAATCAGCAAAAAGCTGGTAGTGAAGGTTTGGCTCAAGTGGTAGAGCACCAGCCTTGAGTGAAAAAGTCATGGGAGATTGCCCAGGTCCTGAGTTTACACCCTGGTATTGCCGTGAGCAAGTGTATGCGTGCGCGCACGCACGCACGCACACACACACACACACAGAGCAGTTGATCTATTTCATCCCCAAGTAGAATTGCCAGTATAGTCCATCTGAGTAATCTTATTTTCAATATTTTCCAAGAAATAATCCCAATGAACTGATTCAGCACAGTCTAGGAATCATGTCCTCAGTGCTACAGAGTTGGTAGAAAGTGCTGATGGCAGTTGGGAGAACAATGAACAGGGGCAAATTAAATCTAGTGGGGGAGGGGGAGCCATTCAATTCTCCCAGGAGGAAGTGATTTTCAAGTTGCTGTGGGGGAGGGCAAAGGCAAGATCCTAATTATACCACCACCAGGGAAATGCACTGAACAGGGATTGTCCTGGAGCCATCTTGGACCTGCCCACTCCAAGATGGTGGTCCCTCCACCCTGAGAACTCGGGGGGGGGGTGTAGGGGAGCGGGGGAGTAGGGAATGACCACAAGGACCCCAGGTTGGTGAGGACCTCTCAGCCTCCCTGAGCTAGAGCTCTGGGCTCTCTATTACAGAAAAGCATTTCATTCTTGGAGATCAGGCAGCTAGGACCCAAGGAACTGTTTTTTTCCTCCATTGTACAAGCATGACAAATCATTAATTTTTGATTGATTTGCTTAGAATTATGGGCGCCCCAGCATTCTTTCCGCTGCTGAACAGCTGTATAACAAATGAATATATCAGTGTGCACAAAAGATTGGAGATCTAAGAGAAGCAATTACATCGCCCCCCCCCTCCCCCACCCTGGCCCCTTCCAGGGCAATGAAGGGAGGAAATTTTTTCCAGAAATTCCTCAAGTGGCTTTAAGGAAAAAAAAAAAAAAGAAGAAAAGAAAAAAGAAAAAAAAAGAAAAGCTTTTTTATAATTGAATTAAATCTTTATCTCTTTATCCATGGCAGCAGATTTCCAAACACACATCAGTTTCCCATATGCCTGAGGACTCCTCCATCCGGGAGGAATTTTTTTTCATAAGAAAATTTCAACTTGTGAATTAAAACCAAAATGAAGAGAAAGGAAAAAAAAAAATAGAGCAAATTCCATCCCTCCCTTTTTTTTTTGCTTTTTTTTTTTTTTTTGGTTGTTGCTATTCCTTTAAGATTTTGGAACTGTACCAATGCACTACATGTGACCTCCATAACTTTTAAATTAAGAATTTATGCTGGCTTGAAATTTATGAAATATTTCAGCATGAAAGAAAGCCTTTTTCCCTCAGGAAAATTGAGCAATAAATCACAGCACTGTGGATTTACTGCCCTAGAGCCAGCGAGAGATAGGATTTTTTTTTTTGCTTCATTCTGAAAAAAAAAAAAATGTAATCATATAAGACAGCTTAGCTGCTGTCCTCCCACTCTCTAGAATTTTTAATTTCAGCTGTTTCTGCTTGGATTTATTTCCAATATTCCTGCTCGGCTTTTCAATTTCCTCAGTTATTAAATTTTAATTCAGTGCATTAGCATTTAAATTAAAAAAGGGTTTATTTTATCGAAATTGTTGGCCAGCCCCCATCCCGGAGCACACGAATTGCCTGTTTCTGCCATTTGCACAAAATGTGAAATGCAGCTAATGTCTTACAACTTACATTTGCACAAATTTAGAAATAAAATTTCTGGGTTTGGAATAATATTTTCTTTCCAAGAAAACCCTTAATAAGAGAATGGAAAAAGAACAACTTAACATTCATTTGGGGAGGGAAGAAGAGGGTGGAATGAAACTAAAAATAGCCTTGCCCAGGTCTTCTGGGAAACTGGTGACTAAGGAGTGGAAGGGGCTGGGACTGGTGGGGGGTGGGCAGCTGTGGCGAGCGGGCTGGAGGGCTTCGATTCCCTCAGCCAGATGACAGTGAGGAGAGTCTCCCATGGGCCCATTATTGGCCATAGAGGAGTCTGCTGAAGGGTGGGAAAGCTCAACACCAGGGCAATGATGGAAAGAAGGAGGGGAGACCTACTTTAGCCCTGTGCCCACCCTGTTTTTACCTGCAGAGAGCCTTTGGTTAGAAAAGGAACCTTTCTGAGGCTCAGACTAAGACTCCCACACACAGCCAGGGAAAGAACACATTGAGTAGCCCCTTGTCCCTTGGTGGAAGATGACATTGACAGTAGCCACAGTGGTGGTCACTGCTCACTCTGCTGTATTCTGGGCCATCCGTTGGAGAAGCTTGAGGCAGTGGTGGTCTGGTGGGCCCTCGAGAGATGCCATGGGATTCTGGCTATTCCAAGTTGACTCTGTACCTTGGTCATCTACTACCTATGCCCTTCTGTGTTTCTGTGCCTCAGTTTCCTGGGCCCAAGAAGCAGTGGTCCCTGTAACTGGGTCTGATACTGTCAGTGGTGTTTACAGTTGTTAACACTGAGCCCACACTAAGTAGTTTTACATGTGTCACCTTTTATGTCTTCTCTAAGTCTTATGTGTGCCAGTCCTAAAAGCCATGAGTGTCGTGTGTTCTTTTGTTGGCACTTGGTGTGTGGGATGTCTCCCACTGCCCCATTACCCATCCATCTTTGATCCACTCTCCATTATCCCACCATCCATGCTCTATTCACCCTCTATCCACTCTTCATCCATTCCCAACCCACCTTCCATTCACCCTCTTTCATCCATCCACCTTCCATCCACCCTCCATCCACCTTCCTTCCACCCTCCAGCCTTCTCCATCCATTCTCCTTCCATCCTTCATCCACCCTCCATCCATTCCTTATCTACTTTCTATCCATCTGTCCACTCTCCATCCATCCATTCCCCATCCACCCTCCATCCACCTCCATCCATCCCCCATCCACCCTCCATCCACCTCCATCCATCCATCCCCCCATCCACCCTTCATCCATTCCCCATCACCTCCATCCACCTCCATCTGTTCCCCATCCACCTCCATCTATTCCCCATCCACTCCCATCCACCTCCATCCATTCCTCATCCACTCTCCATCCACCTTCCATCCATCCACCCTCCATCCATTCTTTCTACCCTCCATCCATCCACCCTCCATCCACCCTCTATCCATCATCTTTCCACCCTCCATTCACTCTGCTTCCATCTATCCTCCATTCCTCCTCCATCTATCCTCTCTCCACTCTCCATCCATCCTCCCTCCATCCTCAGTCCTCCCTCAGTTCTCTCTCTATCCATCTAATCAGCTCACTTGGATCTCTTGAGGGTTGAAGTATTCCATTCCTGAAGAAGATGTCCTTTAGCAAAACCTAGATCTGGGCCTGCAGCTTTGGGACTTGGGATAAATAACTTAATCTTTGAGCCCCTGGATTTCCCTGTAAAGTATGTGGGGTGTGGACCTATGAGAAAAGTGAATGAGACAAGGCAGTGATGTCCTTAGTCCAGCACCTGGTGGGAAGTTGTGTGAGGGGCGTGAGTGTGGACACTCACTTGGGTGGAGAAGAGATCAGGGAGCAGTAGGGACTGTGGAGAACCAGGTATAACAGCCCTCACTGCTGGCCACTGTTGACAGCCTGGATGATCCGCTTTTTGAAGAAAAGCTGGAAGTCTGATCTTTGAGGGATGAAATCTCTTTATTTTTCTATATTCTGCTCTGTGTTCTGGTTTTGCCAGTTTGCAATTTCTGGTAGACATACCCCAAAAGGTAGCTAGCTGCTGTTTGGACTTCAGATCCTCAGTCCTTCACCTGAAACCTTGAAAGCTGACAATCTTGGAAGCAAAAGCAGAACTTGTCCCGAAAGGAGGCAAGGCCTCTGGGTGACACATCCAGCATTTAACCTGCATGGGTTGGCCCACATGTATGCTTCACCCTAGAGATATCAGGGTGCCTGAGGACTTGAAGGTTCCATAGATCCTGCAGTGATATTTCTAAATGTGAGACATGCACTGAGTGGCCTTTGTAAACTCGGGAAAATTCTGAATTTGTAAACCCAGGTGCCAGAGTTTCAGAGCCACGTTGCGCTGTGATTCCAGTGGCCTCACCGGCTGTGTTTGAACCGGCTGGGGTTCTCAGCCACAGTGGAGGGTTTTAGTGTTGTTCCCTGGTCAGCAACCTCCTTTGGCCTCTACATCCAAATCCTCATGACCTTGGCTATCTGTCATTCGTCCTCCTGCATTCAGGCTGCTCCCAGGGCCTTGGTCTCTCCATCAGAAATAGAATTTTATGATTTCTGAAATTTTCATTTGGTCAGTCTTATCGTCCCCCTCCCACCTCAAATAAAAGAGATTAAGAATTGGCCCTCTCTTCCCTTCCAGCTCTTAGGGTTGGGGGGGGGGTAGTAGGGTGGAGACAGAACATTTTAACATAATAGGATTTTCCCCCTCCGGTTGATAGGAATAAATCTGCAGCTACTGTTTTATTGGAAATCCCAGCTGAAAATAAAAGGGGTTCGATTCAATCTCATTTATTTACTTCTTACCACACCCCCGGGGTGTGTGGGTGCTGGGTTTACCTTGGCAGTGGGTGCCTAGTTGGATTTAAAGGGCCAAGCAAATGGGATGGGACTGGGCTTGATGCCCTCTTGCCTCACAGGGTGGAAGTGGATAGAATGTGTCTTCAGCCCTGGCTGATGGAGGTGTCTGGGTCTCTTTTGCAGGCTGACGGAGCCAGTACAGCTGGAAGGAAAAGCACTGCAAACAGGTATGTCCCCTCCCATGCCCTGCAAAACAGCTGCCATTCCCTAGTCTTCTCACCCTAAAGGAACATGGGTTGGGCCAGCACTCTGCTGAAAGGGGCCATACAACCCTGGAGATACGAGGGCATGGGTGGCACTTTCCATGTGCCCTCTCTGGACACATGGTATCTAAAGATGACTCACTTCTAATCTGGCCTGTGGCCCCTCAAGTTGGGCTGAGTTTGAGGATGAAGCACAAGGCTGCTATATGAACTCCACAGGGGAGCCATTCTTGTCATGGTGTGCAATAATTCCTCCTCCTCCTCCTCCTCCTCCTCCTCCTCCACCTCCTCCTCCTCTTCCTCTTCTTCTTCATCTTTCTTTCTTTCTTTTTTTTTTGGTGCCAGGACTAGTGCTTGAACTCTGGGCCTGGGCACTGTCTTTGAACTTTTCTACTCAAGGCTGGCACTCTACCACTTGAGCCACAGCTCCATATTTGGCCTTTTGTAGGTTAATCGAATATAACGCACAGACTTTCCTGCCCGGGCTGGCTTCAAGCTGCAATCTTTAGATCCCAGCCTCCCGAGGATTATACATGTGAGCCACTGGCCCTGTTCAGGGTTAAGGAATTCCTTAACCCATGTGCTAGCATCCTCAGTTGCTCTGTCTGAACCAGTCACACCATAGCAAGGCAGGAGACATTCCACTGAGTCAGACCTGGGTCCATCCTCAACCTTGAAGCTGGCAGGAGATAGAAGGGAGTGGACCCCAGTGGCCTGCTGGGATGGCATTACTCCCAAGGAATGAAAAAAGTCACCAGGTAGGCCCAAGCTGTGGGTATCCCTATGGGTGACACAAGTGGGCACGTGGTAACCTCAGTACTCATTTTGCTGCTGTCCCCTTGGGTAGGACAGAGCTGAAGCAATCATGTGACTTCTGTTTGGGGCATTGAGGCAGGAAGAAGGCAAGGATGAGAGGCACATACATGAGACCTGGAACATTCTCTGGATCAGTTGCTGGACTCAGACTCAGGCTGTGTGAATAATACACTTAAGTTTGCCCTTTTACCCCAAACACTATTCTCTAAGATGCTCATAGATTTCTTTGGGGTACTATGACAATAATAGCCAAATAAATATAGAGGACAGTGGGAGAAACAAAGTCAAACTGGTTTCTTTGCTGCTGTGAGACTTTTCAGAGCCTTTAATATGCTAATGTGTATGCTCAGAGTACAAGAGAGACATAAATGTCCTGTTTCTCAAACATAATTAGCCACGGGGCCCTTTTATTGTGATTCATCCCATCTAGTAAGTGTTCCTTGCAGTACCCTTTGGGAACCCTTGGCAAGTCGAATTTCTTTGGCTTTGTGTTTGAGAAATTCACCAAGGGAGCTTTTTGTAGGGTGGATTGGAGGCTGTGACCCCAGGTGGACAGCCATTGTGACCCGTATGACCTCCTTGTAGGGCCTGGCAAATATTTTATGCTGGTCTCAGTGGCAATTTTTTTTCACTTTGCCAGTGACAGGAAATTTTCTATAAGTGACAGTAAATATGTATGTAAATGGCTATAGTCAGCTGACCCCAACCTAAACTGCCTCCTACTTAACAGTCTTTGCCTTCACAGTCCTTTTTCTGTCTTCCCACATCCCAGCCTGCCTGTGCTCCTTAGTTATTCCAGTGACCCATGAACCTGGTTTGCTGTCTCTTAGAGCACCAGCGCCACAGGGCAAGAGCCATGTTTGTCTTGTGCACTGCTATGGCCTGGGCCTTGTAAGCACTCAAGAATACTGATAGGCTGAGGGAGAGGAGGGAAGGGTAGGGGCAGGGAATAAGGACTGGAATGGAGAGAGAGAGAGTTCAGATTGGGAGGCGGCTGCCAGCTGGGGCCTTTGTTCCAGGTAGTGATGCTCATAGCACCTGCCCAGCGTGTTGTGCTTCTCGGACCCCTGGTAGTAGATGTGTGTGGTGCTGTGGCTCCCAGGGCAGTGGCCTCCTTCGACTAGTTAGTGGGTGGTACCTGGAAATGCCTGCTAGATGAGAATGTCAGAGCTAGAAGAGGCCCAGTAGATAGTCTTACTGTGTATGTTAGTTGCTTGAGGCCTTCAGGAGGAAAGGCCCTATGCAGGGTCATCAGAAGAGTGAGAGGCTACATTAGGTCACCTGCTAGGGCTGATGACTTCTCTACTCAGAGAGGCTATGCTCTAGGGAGGACCTGACCAGCCACTCCTCCCCTGCCTCTTTGTGTTTATCATGGCTTGCTGTGATAGACCCAGTGCTGTGGCCTCAGAAGGATTCAGTGCTAATTTATCCATCAGCAGACATGAGAGTACCTTCTGGATCCACAGCAGTAAACCAAGAAACAAGGTTCCACTCACCCACCCCCATCACCTTAGCCGGGCAGAGGTCCTGGTCCTCACTCTAATGCATTAACCCTTACCACCCAGCACTCTGCCTGGTCCTTGTAGCCAGATGATGCAGATTGGTTTCCCACAAGGCCAGTGGCCACCTGAGGCTGTGAATTGATCACTACCATCCAAGGCTGCTGTCAGAAGTGGGGGAGAGAGAAGGATTGGCAATTGATTATTGATGCCTGCTTGGGAAGGGTAATGTGGCATATATACCATTGCTTCCCTCTCTCTGACTACCCTGGGCTCCTTACCACATACACTCAGTGATTGAGACCCATAAAATACCAGGAACGGTCAGCCCGCACCTTTGGGATGCGTGTGACTTGAGGTGTAAGGATGAAATTCCTATTATTAATGATTCTGATGTACTTGGTATATCAGTGTGTCATACTTAGTATGTCAGGCTCTGAACTGAGTGATTTACACAGTTTGTTAATTGATTTTTAACTTTTTATTGTTATTATAAAGGTGATATACAGAGGGATTACAGTTACATAAGTCAGGTAAAGTGTACGTTTCTTTTTGGATAATATTACCCCTTCCCTTGCTCTCTCCCAGTTTTTCCCTACTATCCCTACCCACAGTTGTAGAATTCATTTTCAACATAGTGCCCAGTGAGTACAGATTTATTTTATTAGTTGTGTGTTGTCTATCAAACAGCCTTGGGAGGAAGATGCTCATCTTAGCCTTGCCTTGTGAATGAGGATGCAGAGGGAAGAAGTTGATAAGCCTACAGTTGCCTGGTTGGAAGGAAGCAGGAAAGCAGGCTGTCAACCTAAGTCTTTTTCCTGAAATGCCTTCCTGTCTCTCAGGGTGAAATGCTCTGTGAATCTGAGTCCAGAGGCCTGTTAGGGGCTCAGCATGGGGCCAGAGTCTGGGCCTATCAAGGAAGGTAGAGCCCCTGAAGGAGCTCCTGGTAGAGTTCATCTTGAATCTGTGATTAGAACCAATAGCATCCTTTGAAAGATCACAGGATAGTGGCTCGGTGTTCTGAGGGGTGGATGACCTGTTAGAGCATCAAGAGAACATTAGCTGTGGCCCTTGAACCCTGACTGAGCCAGTTTCTACCTGGTGGTACTATATGTAGTGCATCAGAGCTCACTGTCTGTTTCCCATGGAGAAATGAAGGCCTTAAGGTCTAGCCAGGTCCGCATGAAGCTAGAGGAGTGGGAGCAGAGCTGACCTTGAAGGACCCCTGCCCTCCCAGCTGTGGCACAGTGTGGTGTTACTGCACCAGGCTCTCTTTCATCCTCGCTTTTTCCTTTTTGGCCTGGAACACACAGTTTTGTTATTTCTCCAGAGGGCCTCTGGCTAAACCCCAAAACCAACAGCATAGGCTGCTCAGGAATTAGTGTTAAATTGAGGGGGACAAGGAGAGGTGGTGTTCTTGATCTTAAGAAACAACGAAATATGGTTTGCTTTACTTCCCTGTAACCCAACCTGGGTTGATTTTATAAGACCAGTGATCCGGCGCTCCAGGTTAATGCTGACCTGGTGTATGGGTTACAAATTATGTAGCCACTGGCAGCCAAACCTCACATATTCCAAGGGGCGGCAGGCCTTCCCTATGAAAAATCTGAAAGAAATGCAATTTTTGTCATGAAGTAAACTCAGTTACTGGCTTGCCATAATGAAGAATTATGCCCCCTTTTTTGGCCATGTGAATGTTTGCAGAGTGCAAGACTCAGAGTAATGTAATCTCCACCCTGGAGATTAGGAGACATGCTCTCAGATGCCTAACAAGGGCTCTGTAGACAGGAGAGCGGGGCAGAGGATGGCAAAACCAAAGCCCATTCACTCATTCCCAAAGTGTTTATTGAGTGCCTACTAAGTGCTGGGCCTGCCTTGGGTACTGGGGAGATAGCAGTGAACAAGAAGAGCTAGTGTTCAGGTTTGAGTGGAGCAGATGGGCCAAGTGCATGAAACGTATGCTTGTCAGCTCTTACAAGTGCTGTGAATGAAAGAGCCAACAGGGAAATGGGCAGACCAGGAAGGGTGCTGCCTTTTTAAATGCATGGTCATTCCAAAAGGAAAAGCATCACTGATCACTGAACAAGATTTGTACCAAGTCCAGGATCTTCTGGGGGAAGTGTACTCTAGGCAAAGAAAACAACAGGCACAAAGGTCCGGGGGTGGGGGGGGGAGGGGTTGGGCATGTCTGTTGCACTGGAGCAACAGCAGGGAGGTCAGTGTGGCTGCTTAGACCCTAGGAGATGTTTGAGCAGAGCGATGGCATGATATTTGGTTTTAAGTGGAGCATGCTGGGTACCAGGAGGGGACAAGACTTTAGAAAGAATGTCTCTGAGGGTTCAGGCCAGACAGGGTCTTAGGTTTAGAGGTTTAGAGGTGCACTTAGAGGTGAGGGCCGGCTATTCATTTTCAGATCTGTGAAGCCTACATCCAGAGACATGCAGCCTCCTGCACCATCCTGGGGGTGGCCCCAGCTGCAACAGCCGGATCCCCACAACCCCACTCCTCCTGTCCCTTGCACTCCTGCTTGGGCATTTTCTTCTCAGGACCTCTGCCCATACTGAGGGCCACAAAACATCCCATAGGGCCAAAGAGCCCTCAATGCCTAGGTCCCAATCCTGGTGCTGCCCTCTGCCTGGTTGCGTGACT